CGTAGACTCACACAGTATTGTACTTGGTCCTCGGCACCGCCATGTGAGGTAGGATTTCTTCCACTTTGCAGCTGGAGGAACAGAGGCACAGACTAGCCACATGCTCTGGGGTCAAGGTCATTCAAGTCGGTGGCAGTTTATTATTTTTAAAATAGTGACCTGGAAAACATCCTTGCATTTTACATTCATACCACAACTGATTTGGTGGCCTTTGAAGAAAGGACGCATGCTCTAAATTAGCAGAAGAGTTTGCCTCCTGGGGCAAATATTGTCACTTCCCATGACTGGATGATGAGAGTCATGAAAGTTGATGTGCTTCCCTTTTTACCATGGCTGCCAGGAAACTCCAGAGTAAAATTTAATTGCAGGATTATGGAAATCACATCAGATAGATTTAAGCGTGTGTATGTGTGCGCGCGCACTTAGTTGCTCAGTTCTGTCCAACTCTTTGCAACCCCATGGACTGCAGTCCTGCAGGCTCCTCTGTCCATTTTCCAGGCAAGAACACTGGAGTGGGGTGCCATTTCTCCCTCCAACCCAGGGATCGAACCCACATCTCCTGCGTCTCCTGCATTGGCAGGAGAATTCTTTACCCACTGTGCCACCTGGGAAGACAGATTTGGGGGATGGTAATTCCTCTTGCTTTTTGACTTTTTTTTTCCGTTGCCTTACTGAACTTTATGATTAAGATTGTAAATGGCCCCCGGTGCTTTTTGGAAATTCTCAGCATAGATAACCCAAATCAGAGCTGGATTGAGGACCAGGTTCCCTAATTCTCAGCTCAAGGCTCTTCTAAAAATATAACATCATAGTTATTGGGCTTAAAAAAGATGGCCTAATTGGAGATGGTAAAGGACAGGGAAGCCTGGCATGCTGCAGTCCACGGGGTCACAAAGAGTCGGACATGACTGAGCAACTGAACAATGGTCAAGGCTGTGAACATCAATGGTGTGGCACTGGTACTTAGGATCTCTCTGGGAGTTTATTAGATATGCAGATTCCTGGCCCTTTGGGGTGAGATGGGGTCTAAGAAACTGCATTTTGGACATGTCCCCACACCACCCTCCGAGACACACAGGTCCAGAGATTCAGGATAGACTGGTTTTATGTCTGGGTTGGGCAGTGGCATAGTCTGGGTATTTTGTAGCCACACAAAGACCCCAGTGGGGCAGTAGGTTAACACAGCAAGGGACAAGGTTGGCCTGAGGGTTCCAGCTGACCTAGGTTCTAGTCTGAACTTGATGACTTCCTGGTTAGGTGACTCTGGAATGAGACCTGTACCTCAGTTTCTTCATCTATAAAATGGGAACACTAAACCCTGTCCTGCCAAGGTTGCCTCCCAGAGTTAGCATGTAGAAGCCTGAAGGAGAAGCAATTTCTAAGTGGCCATGTGCTCTAGAAGATGTGTCCAGGGACTTATTATTAATGAAGAGGTGGTGGGATTGGGGGGCTAATGGGCCTGGAAGACTGGCAAAGCTGGGGGGGGGAGCATTCTAGATGGGAGAGGAGAGGGAGGAAGGCCCCAGAAGTTGGATGGGCAAGAGGAGAACAGACCATGTGATGAAACCACGAAAAGTGGATGGAGGCAGGCAGGAGGGAGCCATGTGGCAATCAGGGCACAAGAGGGTCAAGTCCTGGACCCTCAACTTTGTCACCTGGGAGAGCAGCTGGTAGAGGACCATCCCTGGGGAGACCAAGGGAAGGAGCCGTTTTGAGCAAGACCTCTTGGGAGGGGTTTTTAAAATTGGTCAGCCTTTGATGGGGACAGAATTGGGGGGGAGATGGCTGCCAGGGTGACAGGGACTTGAATGTTGATACCTCGTGCATGCAGCATCTAGGGGCCACTGACGTGCCAGAGTGGTTTGATTTTCATTTCAAGTACAGACATCATTGCCCCCAGGAGGGTCTGATTTGGCTGTGGGAAGAGGTCAGATGTCAGAAACACAAGATCGTCCAGTTTGGGGTCAGTCATGCCAAATGGTCTTCCATCTCCCCTCAACCAACTGGTGCCAACACAATGGATCCAAGCCTAAGGGCCTGTAGGGAATTAGGACCCCAAGGTTCCTTGGGACTTTGGCTGTAGAGAACAGAGAGAGAGAGGGAAAGGAGAGGAAAAAGAGGGGCAGAGGGCGAGGAAGAGAAGGAAGTTGCTGGGAGTAAAGAGGCAGGAAAGAAGAAAGGGGAAAAGGGCAGTGTTCCTTCCTGGGACCCGGTGCTCCTGGGGAGTCCTCACGGTGGGCCAGGCAGTTTTCTGCTTCGGGAATGTTACCAAGACTTAAAAGGCATTTGAAGAAACAAACAAACTTAGAAGTTACATTCCAAAAGAGTAGAGAGTTTTTACAAGACAACCCCCCACCCCCAAAAAAGAAAACACAACCAGTTGCTAATTAAAATGCTAAAACCCAAATCAAACCAATATTTACACGTAACATTTTCAACCCCATCAAGCCCCATATCCAGAGGCTTCTGTAGGAACAGTGTAGGAACCTTGCCCAGTGGCATGCAGGAAGCAGAAACTGGGACTTTACTGAAAACCAACGACAGGCCTCTGACACTGGCTGAGGGCTGGGCGGCCAGGCGCTAAGACAACGAGAACGCAAGGACGATCTTGGGTGAGAACAATGATGGTAAGGCTGAGCACTCAGCAGGGTCCAGGTCTCGTGAAGATTCCTCCCCAAGGCTAGCAGTGCAGCCTCCCTGGCCTTCTGCAGCCCCGGGAGGTGGCAGAAGGCTTCTGGTGGCCTGTGGCCTGGTGTGAACCCCCTCCCTTAGATAGCATTGGAGGGGTCCCCTGACCTCTTGGGTGGGAGCACTGGCATCCCAGAGGGGCCTGGCCCTTGGCTACATTGACCTGCCTGCTCTGCCCACACAGGTCACTACGGTACGAGGAAGTGGCTGGTTGTACTAACGTGACCCCAAAGTTCTGCTGATAGGCAATGGACATGAAGGTATTTGGGTAACTGGTCCAGGTGCTCCAGAAAGGGCAAGACTGGGGGCTGGTGGGTGGGAGTGCAGAGGCATCTCCGAAGTCCTGGGGGCACACTAGCAAAGATGCTGGCTTTCGGTCTTCCTGATGGAAAATTCACAGATAAGCCACTTTATCCTGATGTTTTCACTCTGAGCCCCCAGCCAGTCACACGCAGATATGCAGGTATGTGTGCAACCAAAATGGGTTCACTGGCACCAGGAGGGAGGCCCTCTGCATTCTCCCCTGCCCTGAGCCATGCTGCAACCCGCCCGGTGGCTCAGTCAGCTCACACGCGACAGGGGGAAGGGCGGCAGTGGGGTTGGGGCTGAGAGACGAGCCTGGAGAGTCCATAAGGCTAAGGAGAGAGGCTGGTGAAAAGGCTGGAGGCTGGTGAGAACTGAGGCAGGCTGGCAGACACTCTCAGATCCATGTGCAAAGCTGCAATAAACAACATTCTCGAAGTTCAGTCCTGTTTTCCTGCGAGTTCTCACTTAGGGAACTTGGAGAGATCTCCATGCTCTTGATAAAGCCTTAGTAATCTGTGTTGGACTCATTAGAAACCAAAAAAAAAAGGTGTCAGAAGGAGGGAGGAAAATGAGAAGGAAAATGGAAAGTGATTGGGAAGCGGTGCTGCTGGTCCAGCCCTCCGTCCTGTCTGTGAGTATTTACAAACTCACAGCTGGGGGTCAGGCAAGTAGCAGGTGTGGAGCATAAAAGTGATGCTCTGAGGCCAAAGGGTCAGCATATTTGTGGGGAGCTCTGCTGGGGCCCCCTCCAAACCTGAACCAGGAGACCAGAGCTCGCCTGCTGAGTTGTCTTGTCCACAGAGGGGACCCTGCGCCCATCCATCGTGTTAAAGCCTTGCATTGTCCCAGTGGCGAGAGTACATGTCTCAACCTCCAATAAATTACCTTAGGGACTTTGGGGTAAATTAAATTATTAAAATAAAGTAAAACCACCTTAAATATTTATAGTAAGAAAAACTCAAAATAAACAACCTAGGCAAGAAATGTGCTTCCAGGCCCCAGTCTATTGCCATGTCCTGGGGCACCGGTCTCGTGAAAGACTCCTGGGCCTGATCTGACCAACTGGGAGTCTCTTTTTGGGAATATCTTTGCCCTCCACCAGCTGCAGGATGTAAACACAGTAGAGATGTGGCACCCCTCCAGGGTGCTGGGGAAAGAGCCCCCAGCAATCAAGGCAGTGGGCAATTAGGCATTTGTTGATCTGTGCACCAGGTCTTGAGATGGACTCTACCTATGTCTGTCCTCAAGGAGTCTCCTGGGAAGGCTGGGGTCCCCCCAAGTCACCTTGGCAAGAAAGGCAGTTCCAGTGGCTCCCTGACCCTGGGCCCCGCACATTTCTACCTCACATTCTAGGTCTTGCTGCATCTGAGCTACGGGCAGGGAGATCCAGGGCCCCAGGATTCTAAGCAGATACTTGACCCTGGCTACTGCCCTATCATATCCCCTAGAGCTGCAGCAATCCAGAGCAGCGGGGCTGGGGGGAGGAGGCGGTGGCGGAAGGAAGAGAGGGATGGGGTGATGCCCAGCTCAGCTCCATCAGACACCCCACATTGAGCCCTAGAGCAAAGCCTGTTCTTCTCATCGGTGTTTCCTCCCGGTGAAGAGGGATGTGGTTGGCTGGGAACATCTCTGTGAGCCCTTTTCCATGAGGCGCATGGCCGGAAGTGGATCCTTTCCTTGGCTCTTCTGAGAAGTGGGTGGAACCAGGCAAGGCTCTCCCACCAGGGATCAGCTCTCAATGAATCTCTCTGGAGATGCTTCCGAAGCCCAGTTTTGGTCTTTCTCCCACTCGCTGCCTTCCCCTGGGAAGTCAGATATCACCACCAGCAGTCAGCAGGAGACCCCGCTTTACCTGGCTGGGAAAGCGCTTCCATGGCAGAGATGCAGCCCTCCAGGGCGAGAGATGCATGGAGCTCGCGGGGCCCCGAGCGACTTCTCCTCTCCACTGGTTCTCTTCGGCTGTCCAGGGACGGGGGCTGGTTGAGGTGAGGAGCTCGGCTGCTCTATCACTCGCTGGGCGGGGCTGCCCGCTCCTCCCCACCCCAGCCAGACTCTGAAGGGTGCAGCCTGCACTTGGAAGGAGAGTGGCGGATAGCAGAGCGGGATGGCCGGGCGAAGCAGGAGGCGAGAGACTGGGTGCTGCAGTCACACACTGCATCCTGGGGGGAGAAGAAGAAGTCAGGAGGTGCCAGGAGGCACTAACAGCGCCCCCCCACTCCCCCAGGGACTGGGTGGCCATCCAGGCCAGGAATTTGGACTCTGCTGTGCAGTTCCTAGGAGCTGGAGCCCCTCTTTTTTTTTTCAGTTATTTATTTATTTTCATTTATTTTTATTAGTTGGAGGCTAATTACTTTACAATATTGTAGTGGCTTTTGCCATACATTGACATGAATCAGCCATGGATTTACATTTGTTCCCCATCCTGATCCCCCCTCCCACCTCCCTCCACATCCCATCCCTGTAGCCCCTCTTTGAACCAATTTTAAAAACTTATTTTCTCCCATTAGAGCAGTAATGAACATTCATAAATAAAGCAGTAATGAGTGTTCATAAATAACATTCCAGGGACTTCCCTGGTGGTCCAGTGGTTAAGAATCCACCTTCCAAAAAAAAAAGAATCCACCTTCCAACACAGGTGACTTGGGTTCGATCCCTGGTCGAGGAACTAAGATCCCATATACCATGGGGGCAACTAAGCGCATGCACTGCAGCTAGACAGAAACCCAGCAAAAGCCTGTATGCCGCAAAAAAGACCCAGTACAGACAAAAAAGCAAAACAAAAAAACCCAAACATTCCAGAATATAATAAATTCTGGAACATACCTTTGCCAAAATGATCTCAACTCCTATAGCTTACTTTGTAATCACAAAAACATGAATACTTTTCTTGTCATTATGTATGTCCAGATCTCTTTCTTTTTAATGGCCACACAGTATTACACTGAATGGAAATAGCTTAATTTATTTATCCAACTCATTTTTTATGTGTGTTTTAGGTAGTTTCTAAATTTTTTACTATGACCAACACATAGGGATAATGGTTAAAAGTGCTGCTATACATTAGTTACAATTGCCAAGATATGGAAACCTAAGTGTCCATCAATAGATGAATGGATAGAATGCTACTCAACTATTTAAAAAATGTAATTTTGCCATTTGCAGTACCGTGGATAGACTTGGAGGGCATTATACTAGGTAAAGTTAAGTTAGACAGGGGAAGACAAATACTAACACCACTTATATGTGGAATCTAAAAAATACAACAAACTTGTGAACAAAAAAACATCAGACCCACAGATATAGGGAACAAACTCATGGTTACCAGTGGTGAGAGGGAAGGAGGAAGAGGCAAAATAGAGGTAGGGGATTAAGAGGTACAAATTATTAGGAATAAAAATAAGCTACTAGGATATATTTTACAGCACAGGGAATATAGTCAATATTAGTAATAATTACAAATGGAGTATAAACTTTAAAAATCATGAATCACTATATTACACACCTGTAACTTATATAATATTGTATGGCAACTATACTTCCAAAAAAAACCCCAAAACATACTGCTGTAAAACTTGATTGGTTGGTTCAAATTCCAGCCCAGTTACTTACCAGCTGTGTGACCTCAAACAAGTTTTTTAACCTCTCTGAGCCTTGATTTTTTTCCTCAAAGTTGTTGTGATCAACTTTGATCTCAGCCCAGATTTTTTCCTCAAAGTCTGTTGTGATTACAACAAACTGTTGGCATAGTGCCTATTACGTATTCAGTAAGTCTTAGCAATTTTTATTAAGAATGCAATATTTTTTTATATACACATCCACCTCTGTAAAAATTTCCACTGGTTACATTCTTAAGAGAACTACTGGATCAATGGGTAATAAGCATATTTTACATACTGAAAAATGTTTGGGTCAACCAACATGGAAAATACAATCAGCTTTGTATTTCTGGTTTCGTGATGTAGTTGTGGTTATCTGACTATGATGATTAATTTTCTGCCAACTTGACTGGGCCACAGGTTCCAGACACCTGGTCAAACACTATCCTGGGTACTTCTGCAAGGATGCTTTTGATTAAGATTAATATTTAAACCGGTAGACAGAGTAAAGCTGCTTGCTCTCTCTAACATGAGTGAGCCTCATCCAATCAGCTGGTGTACTGAACAGAACACAGAGTAAGAAAGAATTCTTCCTGCCTGATGACCTTTAGACTGGAAGTACATCAGCTATATGTGCTGTACTGGAACTATACCATTGGCTCTTCTGTTCTCAGGCTTTTGGACTCAGTCTCTCTGTCTCTGTCTCTGTCTCTGTCTTTCTCTCTCTACACACACACACACACACACACACACACACACACACACACACAAACACACACTCTCATGCATGCATAACCACAAAGCCTACTGGTTTTGTTTCTCCAAGGAACTCTAATATAACGACTATGTTCAGTTTCTAAGAATTCAATAAACCATATTTTTTACAGTACATATATTAAACTAAAAAAGGTTTAAATTAAAAAAATAGGAATAAATATTTTAAAGGTTTTTTTGTTTTGTTTTAATTTAACGCAGCCAGAGAGTATAGGGAAGTAAAGCACTCACCATATACTCTTGGGGGTTCTAGAAACTCGACAAAGTCTTTGGAAAGGCAATTCAGCAACACCTATTAAATACTTCAACAATTTACCCATTTCTACAACTCAAAACTAAGGAGATAGCCAATTAAAATTAATTAATTTTTTTAAAAACTAAGGAAATAATCTGCAATATGGAAAAATGCTTTTGTGTCAAGATGTTCACCACAGTATTAAGTACAATAGGGAAAACCTAGAAACCAGCTAAACATATAAACCGTACGAATCACATGGGTCAATTCCAGCCCGTGCCATCCCTCTGTACCCCCGCCCACAACCTTCCTTCACTCCCTGCGCTGCAGACCATGATATTGCCCCTGACCACAGCTGACTGGGCCAAGGGGGCCCACTGATCTCAAGTTAGACCAATCAGTTTCTTCCTGAAATGTGGAACTGGGACATAGCGATTTGACTCCATCTCTTTTAGGTGCTTGAACCAGAAGATGTTATAAAAGCAGAGGAGGGAGAGCCCACCTGGACCACATGCAGATACAACAGAGAGGGAGGGAGACAAGGACATCAGAGAAAATGAAGCTCAAAGGAGAGGAGAGGGAGGGGCTTCCCTGGTGCTCTAGTGGCTAAGACTCCAAGTTCCCAGTGCAGGGGTTCCGGTTCAATCCTTGATCAGGGAACTAGATTCTGGATGCCACAACTAAAAGATCCTGAGTGCTGCAACTAAGACCCGGCGCAGAGAGACAAATTATATATATATATATATATATATATATATATGTATATATATATTTTTTAAAGAGAGGAGAGGGAGATAGAGCAGCCACTGGGGACTTTGGATCCTTGCCCTTGGGCTCCATGGTATAACATGCAGTTTCCCTTTCTGCAACGCTAACTTATATGTTTTACTAATATGCACATAACCTTAACTAAATCTGAAATTGATATCCGGAGTGGAATGAGCAACAAAAGGGTCTCAGAATGGAAGCACTTGGGGATGGAGTCTTGGTGGGGTGGGGGCAATGGTGTGCCAGGACATGTTTAAAGACTGGCTTCCCAGGACTGAGAGGAGAAGCGCTGATTTTCAGCAATTCCACTTTTCACGGAGTAAATCCTCTCAGGGTACTAAGGTGACACCACTGAACACAGAGAGGTCCACGACTGGCTCTCAAGAATCAAGGGAGTGGGCACATCGCTGGGTGATGGGAGAGCAGTGCCCATGCTTCTTGCTAGGAGGGGATGCTGGCAGTCTCTGGGGGTGTGCATGGATAAGCCATGCTCACGCATCTAGTAATCAGACCGTGTGTCCATCAGGTCTGTTGTTCCAGGAAGGAGGCCTTCCAACCCCCATCCCAGAGCAGCACACGGACCTACTGAAATGCACAAACCACTGGCCTGAGTTTGAAAACCAAAGAGTTGGGACCTTATGAACCAACCTCAGCTCAAAAGAAAAAGGGCACCCGGCCCCCAACCCGCCTACCTCACTGGGAAGGCCGGTGGCTCCGTCCCCATCCCGAGTGATGCCATCCTTCCCCGCCTGGGGGAGCCCGGAGAGCCTGGCCTCCTCGCTGCCGCCCAGCTTGCCCACCTTCTTGCTCAGGATCCTGGCCACGCCCTCGGGCTGATGGTAGCTGGCGGGGCAGAGGGGCTCCGGCTTCTTGGCGCCCTCCTCCCCGGCCGCGGACGCCGTGGGGCTCGGCGCCCGGCCGCACACGCTGCGGAAGAACTCCTGCACGATGCCGTACTTGGGCGGTTCGGGCTTGGCCCGGGCCTCGGACATGCCCAGTTTCCAGACCGACTCCGTGCTCCCCGAGTGCTCCACCACGCTGAAGAGGCTGGACAGCCCGTCGTTGATGTTCCTCAGCACGGGGCTGTCCCGCGTGGTGGTGGAGCGGGCCCAGGCCGAGCCGTTCTGCTTGCCCTGGTGCAGGTTCCACAGGCTGCGGTCCTTGGCCCCTTCCAGCTTGGACACAGAGCGCCTCTGAAGCTTGGGCGAGCCGTACTTGGGTGAGCAGCAGGGCCGCTCGATGCGCGCGTGCACCTTGTCCAGGGAAGATGAGATCTGCTTGCTGCGCACGGACACGAGCGAGGAGCCACGTGGCGACCAGCTCTTGCCGTGAAGGCTGCCGCGGGGCGGGTCGGTCTGCAGGCCCACGCTGACCGTGCGGATGGTCTGCGTGCCCACGCTGGCCATGCCCACCGTCTGGCTGGACGTGCTCTTCACCTTCCGCTCCAGCGAGCCCGAACGCATGGCCTGGCGCACGCAGTTGGTGATCTCCTTCATGTCGTCGCTCATGTTCCCTGACATCTCGAAGTCGTGCAGGGCTGCCGGGAAGCCGGGCCCTGCCGCCGAGGGGCCGCCCCCGGAGCCCCCGTCCAGGCGCTGCCGGGAGAAGTTGCAGAGCCATCGGCTGTAGGAGCTCTCGGCCAACCCGTCCGCCTCGGCCGACTCTTTGGGCTTGGCTGTGGTGAAGAGGAAGCCCGGCTCGATGATGATCTTCCCCTCCCTGTCATGGACCACAGGGACGCCCAGGCGCCGGGCCACTGGGGGGCTGTAGTACACGCGGATGCCCGTCTTGTCGGGTGCCGTGTAGCTGCGTTGCATCTGCCTCCCGGCCGGCTCCGGGCAGCCCAGGGCACCCAGGCGGTTGCAGTCATGGGGCGAGAGCCCTGGCTGTTCGGGGGCACCCTTTTCCGGGTCCACTGGCTGGGTGCCCACGAAGGCAAAGGCAGGGCTGTTGGGTAGCTTTTTGCCCCGGGAGGCTTCCCCAGCGAGGTACGGGGAACAGTCCAGCAAACTCTCAAACTCCGACATGGAGGAAACAGATTTGGTCCTGGGAAGAGCAGAAAAGGAACGGCTGAATTAGTAGATGCCTTATGCGGAGCAAGCACTCTGGCTGGTCCCTGCGCTTCACGGGAGCCGGGACCACAAGGGTCCTGCTCATCTCTTGAGAAAGATGCTGTTGGTGCCCTGCCCTTCGTCCCCTCCACACACACACCTACACATGGAACACTGCACGCTCGGAGCACCTGCCATTCTTCACCTGAGGGCTTTTTTTCTGTCTGCAGGAGCATACTTGGCTTCCACCCAGTTGTTTAGTTGCTAAAGTCGTGTCCAACTCTTTTGTGACCCCCATGGCCTGTAGCCCACCAGGTTCCTCTGTCCATGGGATTTCCCAGGCAAGCATACTGGAGTGGGTTACCATTTCCTTCTCCAGATCTTCCAGACCTGGGGGGTGGAACCCACATATCTTGCATTGCAGGCAGGTTCTTTACCGCTGAGCGGAAACTAAAAATTTCACATGATTTATAGACATAGCCATCAACAAACCATGGGTGGGGTTTGGTGGTTTGGTACCAGTCCCCAGGTACCCTTAGGTGGGAGAACTCATGCTCCACTCTGGCTCCCAGCAATGCTGTGAAATAGCTCCAGCTGCCCACGTGTAACCTGGTTGATAACACCTCCTTTATGGTGCGTTCCCTTTCCTGTCTCACTTCCAGACTTTTCCTGGAATCCCCTCCCAAATGTTCCGTTTGCACTCAAATCCTTGCCTGAAGCCTTACTTTTGGGGGATCCCAATCTAGGACTTCCCAGGTGGCTCAAATGGTAAATAATCTGCCTGCAATGCAGGAGACCTAGGTTCGATCCCTGGATTGGGAAGGGAATGGCAACCCACTCCAGTATTCTTGCCTGGGGAATTCCATGGCCAGAGGAGCCTGGCAGGCTATAGTCCATGCGGTCGCAAACAGTCACGACTGAGTAACTAACAACAAATAATAACACGATCTAGGACACCATTTAATCTCTGACCCAGACCTGGTATGCGTGCTGTCTGATGACTGTAAGTGCCAGGCATACGTGACAGCATTGCACACATCAGACCATTCAGTCCTTGGACAAGTCTAGGGGGCAGTTCCTGTTACCCCATAGGTAGAGATGGGAAATACAGCACCAGGGCACAGAGCTAGAACTTGCATTGCTGAAATTCAAATCTCACATCACAACTCCAGAGCCACCCTCCTCCCTGGGGCTCACTTGGCTTTGGGCTGCTCACATGGCCCCTGTGGGGTTCTGTTACCCCAACTTTCTTCAAGGGTTTCCTAATGGTGGAAACATGGTCCTGAGAGTCCTAGGGGTTCCCTGGCTATAGCACAGGGCTGGGCCCAGAGGATGATGCTCAGTACTACCAGGAATAGAGGTCCAGTAGGACTCTCCAAACTCCAGAGACAGGAGGAACCCCAAGAGGAGCTTGGGGTTTCTTTCTCAGCTAGGATACGCTGGGGCCCATTTTCCATGACTAGAATAAAAAAAAAAAAATCGCAGGCTAGAATTGCTATCACCCAAAGGTTCCCAGCTCCTAAGTGGCTGGGGTTCCACAAAAAACATATCCCCGTGTTCTCTCAATTCAGTGGAGGTGCAGTGCTGGGAACATGGAGCAGAGAAGAAAGGCAAAGTGGCAGGGCGGACTTCAGGGCGGGGGGCTAGGGCAGGGGTGGGGCTCGGGACAGGGCTGCCAGCACCTCTTTAAGCCGGTTCCCCCAAGCTCAGCTTCAGAAACAGCTTCTTTGTCGTGGATCTTTTCACTGCGGGTCTGTCATGGAAGAGAGACAGGAAAGGGTCAGTCTGGCCACAGTGTGGGAGCGGGCCCAAGCTCTCTCGAGTCTCCTCCTGTAGAGCAGGAGTATTGTCAGCACCGACCTAGAAGCCCATTGGTCAGTTTCTACCTACAATGCATCTAACCCCGCCCCTCATAGGTATGTGATCCAAGCTTGGCCAATCCACGGTACAAGAGCGAACCCAAGAGAGTCTATTTAGAACTTACTGTGAATGTAATGGCAGCAACAAAGCAACCAGTAGCCACTGCTCAGTTGAAGGTGAAAGCAGTGATCTGAGGTCTTGTTTGGGGTTTGCCCCACCCTGGTTCCAGGACAAGTCCCAAGACTTGCATCAGTTTTCTGACCTGGCATCACCAACCCTCTTGAGCCCCTAATGAAATCCTCCCCTACTTCAGTAACCCAGAATTGGCTTTTGCTGCTTGCAACCAAATCTAATTCACCACATCTTCAGGCTGTCATGAGCAAGGGCTTGTATGGTCACTGTTTCATTACTCAGTGTACTGCTATATATATGGGCAGTGCATCTGAGGTTCAGGAGCAAACTTACCTGATTAATCTCCACACCTGGGCTGGACTAACACAGAGAATATGATTTTTATTTTACCAGTGAGGCAACTGGGGCCCAAAGAGACAGAGTGACTTGCCCAGGATCACAAAGCTCTTTTGGAGTCCCTGTTTTTGAGAAAGGCATAATTAAAACAAGAGAGACACCTAACCTTTCTCCCCAGGCATGGAAGGATGGAGCTGGCAAGGAGAGGACCTTCACAGGTCTTAAGGCTGGAATCATGAAGCAGAGACCTCAGGATTGAGGAGCCCAAGCGGGTGAGGGTATATGATCTATGGGACAGGATTAGCATCCTCCTGGTCACATTTCCCCCAAGTGAGGGACTTTGCAGTATAACCAGGAGCCTGTTGCCTCTCTCACCTCTTTCCAGCTGTTGTCTTGCTTCTCCAGATCTGAGTGCTTTAGGACCCAGGGGTCAGCAGCTTTCTGCAGCTGGACAAGAATAAAGAAGGTGGTTACGTACTGGCAAAGCTGGGGAGGAGGGCCCTGTTTTGTGCAGTGCCATTCCCCAGGCTCCACTCTGTGGTCCAGATGAGCCAGATCATGGGCTCAGAGCCACCTTCCAAATGGACAGCAGCTCTGAGCCAACAAAGTGGATGGTTTTGGCAAATGATCATGAAACCAACCACTTATAGGCGTCCTCGTAAGTGTCATTATCTCAAATACAGTAATAGTTGTTATTACTATGTTAATTCATGCTGCAGTTCCTGGAACAGCTACATCAGCTAAGCAGCAGCTGAATAACATTAAAGTGGTGTCTCCACACTAGGTATGCTAAGCAGCAATTAAACTGAATGGCATGCCTCTGCACTCTGTTGTGAACAGCTCTCTATGAGAGAGGCAAAATGTAAATAATATACATATTACGAAACAAAGGATAAAGTCACAGAGCTTGATAAGCTAGGCACATGTTAACTGTAGTGGGGCTACAGTTAACATCAGTCAATGACTGATTTTCCTATTTCCCCCTTTTGGTCAGAGAACCCTAATTTTCATGAGGAACCAGCCTTGGTTCTTCCCTCTTGGTTCAAGGGATTTGGTAGGCTCTAGATGTGGGCATATGACTCATATCTAGCTGATCAGAGCCGTGTGAAAAAAGAAAACTCTCTTCCCATTGCAAAGGCTAAGCTGTGAGGATGTGAACACAAAATTCAAAGAGGCCACATTGGAGGACAGCTTGCTTTGGAATAAAACACAGGAAAGCAAGCCTATGAGACCAGCAGAGAGGAAGACTTGGTCCCTACTGCAGCCTCTGAGCACACAGATCCAGCACTACGTGAAGGAGTCCTCCCTCTGGTCTGTGCCCACAGCAACGCCCCGCTTGTGGCTTAAGGCAGCTGGGGCTGGGACAGGCCTCACCTGGCTCAGGCGATTCTGCAGCTCCTTTAGCTGCTGCTCCACCTGCTGCTTCTCGCCCTGGAGCCGCTCCACCAGCTGCAGCTTCTCCTGCGCCCAGTTGTGCTCTCCGATCTGCAGCTGCCGCGTCAGCTCCATGACCGCGCTGTAGGACTCGGCCAGGAGGTGCTGCTGCTCCTCCCGCTCCCTCTGCAGAGCTGCCTTCCAGTCAGGCCCCGTCCGATCCCCAGCCCCCTTCCCAGCCTTCAGCTCCATCTGGGGAAGGAAGAACAACTGGGTGGCTGGCCCTGGGAGGCCCCTTGCCGTCCCCCTCCCGTGATCTTCCCTCCCGGGCGCCAACAGAGGGTAGGCAAAGGCAGGAGGGGCCCCTCCTCCGAGGACCCCCTCCCCCGAGGACCCCCTCCCCCGAGGACCCCCTCCCCCAGGAGCCATCGCTGACCTCCTCAGTTAAAACTAGTCTCTTCTCACAATCAAGGCTTGTGTGGAAGTTTCTACACACCAAGCTCCGTGCTAAGGGCTTTTCAGGCATTATCTGTATCCTCGAGAAAACTCAGCAAGATAACTACCATTTTTGATATTTTTACCAAGGAGGAAGAGGTTCAGAGAGGTTACTTTTCCCAGGTCACATAGCTACAAAATGGCAGAGGTTCCTAGTTATTGCTTCTCATGATATTTCATCAACACTTACCAGGGTTTACAGTTACTGGGAGATACGCGAAGTCTAAACATAAAAAAATGTGTGCAGGAATCACTCAAGAGTAATGGCTTTCCTGGTCCCAAGCTCGGGAGAGGGGGGCACAAGAGGTAAAGATGCCATCTATAGGCACCCCACACCCCAGGCTGTTGTCAGATTCCCAAGGGGAAGGGGCACCTGGAATGGCTGGGGTTGCGGGAGCAGTGTGAACAGTGGACACTGTGGAAAGTGCAGGTGGGAGGAGAGCTGTGAGTTCTGCAGGGAAGGTTGGGAGGACGGAATGGCAGCACCGGGAAGCAGAAGTTTGAGAATTGGGAAAAAGGGGGGATCACGGTCACGAGAAGCCAGGAGGGCTAAGGTTTGGGGAGTGAGGATCAGGTCTGCCGTTTACTAGCTGGGTGATCTTGGAGAAGAAACTGAACTCCTCTGTGCCTGTCTTGTCCTTTGCCCAACCAAGATAAATCGGTGTACCTACCTCCAAGGGGCCCATAAGGCCTGGGAAGGCAGCCTGCGGCAGGGGCAGGGGGGAGGAAGCTGGGCCGTGGGGGAGGGATGGGGTGGTGAGAGCCCTCTGAATGGGAGGAAGCCCACCCTCGCACTTCTCAGACCAGAGTAGGGGGCACTACTGCCAGGCACACAGCAGAGACTAAATACCCAGGGTTCCTGGCGAAGGGTCCTTTGAATTATTTGGATTGTAGGGAGGGGAGTCCTCCACTGTGGGGGGAGGGACCAAAACAGGGCCAGGCAGCAGATAGTTAAGGGGACTTTATAGGACAGCAGGCCACAGAAGTCTGGGTGTGAGGATAAAGAATGCCATCAGGTGCACACAGGTATTTAAGTGTTCTGGCCTCACCTGTGAGCCTGTGGTGTGGGAAAGGTGCCCGTGATGCCCCCAGGCTCCTCTGCCAACCCTTCACCTGCCTTTCCTAGCCTAGAGACCCCCAGTCCCCACTACTTCTGGTATCCTTGCTGTGTGATCTAGTCAAGGCTCCTGCCTTCTCTGGGCCGCAAAGTAAGTAAAGTGATTCCTATGCTTCTAGGAGCGTGGCTTGGCCATCCTGTTTCCCAGTCTGACAGCTGAGACCTTGGCAGAGACAGGAACGAGGAGAGGGATGTCTCTGACTGGTGAGAGACTCACCAGGGCAGCATGGCTCTTGAGCTCCGCCCGCTCCGTTTCCCAGGTGGCCTTGGCCTTGGCAAACTGTTGCTGAAGCTCAGTCAGACCACGGCGTTCATCCCGGAGAAGCCAGCATAGCTCCTTCAGTGTCACCTTCATGTCAGCCAGTGTCTTGATGTACTCATTGGGCTGCAGATGGGGGGCAAAGTCTCAGTCAGGAGTTTTCAGAGCGGCAAGGAGGAGAGGCTGGACTGGGAACTCATCCAGAGTTCAGTCTGGGACTCTAGCAGGCCTTAGACAAGTCCCACGACTGCTCTGGGTCATCTCTTCATAAGACAGGCATAACAAGCCCAGCCCAGGCCCCCTCCAAGGCTGACACATGCCCCAGCTTCACATAAACACAAAATTCTGTAGTTACAGCGACTATTCAGCCTAAAGCTAAGCCGGGCCCTGGCTTCTCAGAGGCTCTGCAGCATCGAGGCCCTGCTCAGCAACTGCATTCTCTGACCCACCAGGGCCTAGATGAGCAGTCTGAGCCCTGGAGCCTACCTGACTATCTGCCTTGGGCCTAATCTTCTCTCCTGGGCACATGAACTGTTTCCCACCTATAACCCAGCTCAGTGTGGGTACCCCTGGGAGCCTGACCCCACTGCTCCACTACCCCCTGCCTTGATTTGAAAGTTCCTGATCCTAGGCCACAAGGTCTTTCTTCACACAACTCACTCCAGCCTGCTGTCCTTAACCCCACTACGTACATCCCAAGCTGCAGCCAGTCTCAGAAAACCTTGCCGCACCTCTGCATACATACTTCTTTTGGTACAGAATGGCCTTTCCCTCATTCTTTATTAGGGAAGCTCCTATTCATCCTTCAAAACCCACCACCTAAAACCCCTTCTCTGTAATACCATCCCCTACACTCTGAACAGAATTAACTGCTCTCTTACCCATGACCCCACAGTCCATCATCTGACCCTCTGTCACTGCCCTGGAATGACTTATGTACCCCACAGTGCTGAGCATCTGGGGCAGTGACCCTCTGCAGCTCTAGTCCCTGGTGTAGGACTGCAGTCAGAGAAAGCAGCAAGACATGATCACTAAACAGACAAAGGAACAAATGGACAGGACAGGACTGGAAATGGGCTGAGAATTCACCGTGTTTTGGGTCCAGCTGTCCCCTGTGCAGGTCTTGTTATCAGAATGCTGAGCATTCAATTCCTCTTCCTCCATTAGCAGGTACAGCTCCTTCATGCTATTTACCTATTTTTTAAAAGAACACTGATCAGGGGATGGCAGGGCTTCATGCCTGGGGGTCTGACCTTCAGGGGGACAGGATACAGGCTAGTGACTCAGAAAAAAAGGGGGCTGAATAGACAGGCAGGAAGCAAGTATGAGGATTTATTGACCAAAGGCACCCCAGCTAGGCATTGATTTCCCAAATTTTAACTTTTACTCCTAGGCACCGTCCAGGCCAAGGAGCATAGCTAGAGAGTCAGGTCCTTCTGACCCTCCCCCCTACCCCACAACCATCTCTTCTGCCTCAAGGACCATGAGACATCCCTGAGAACTACTCAGAAATAGCTCTGTTGTCAAAGGAGGCACAGTGATTGGATTAAAAGGGCCACAGGGCACCCTCTTAACTATAGAAAAGGGCAACCAGAGGTTTGGGTAGACAGATGGGGCCCTTCCTGGGGGCAGGGGTTGCTATTAATTGATTCTGGACAGGAGTCCAGAGTCAGCCCAGGAGACCAGGGCTGGTTCAAGAAGGGAAAGAAGGAGAAGAAGAGGGTGCTATTTACTATTCATTAATTCATTCATTCAACAATTTTTTTTTTTTTAAGCTGTGCCTCGCAGCATGTAGGATCTTAGTTCTCTGATCCAGGATCAAACCTGTGCCCCCTGTATTGACAGCATGAAGTTTTAACCACTGGACCACCAAGGAAGTCCCTTATTTGACAGATATTAATTGAAATCCTGCCATGCCCCAGGTCCTTGTCCAAAGCTGGGGATATGTCAGTGAGCAAGACAGATGAAAAACCCTGGTCCCCTCGAGCCTCCATTCCAGGAGCAATAAAACAAACAGATATGTGAAATACATGAAATGTCAATAAGTATATGAAATGTTCCATCATAGTAAGTGCTATGAAGAGGAGAACTGTGAAAGGAGCTAGGATGTGCTGCACTGGGTGGTCAAGGAAGGCCTCAGGGAGGAGGTAGTATTTGGGCAAAGTTCTGTAGGAAGTAAAAGAATAAGTCATGTGAAGACCTGCAGGTTGGGAATTGCAGGGAATGACCACAGCAAATGCAAAGGCCCTGAGGTGGGGACATGTGTGTCTGAGGAAGAGCAAGAGAGCCAGGAAGGAAGTGAGAGGTATAGGGCCCAGGGCGGGTTGACAGGTGTTGTAGGGACTTCGCTTCTACTCTGGGTGACGTGGGAGCCAGAGGAGGGCTGTGCTTAGGAGTGACAGTGACCTGACTTCCAATTTTGTGAGATCACTCTGGCTGCTGTGTTGGGATACTTTATAGGGTAGAAACAGAGCTCCACAGCACCAGGGGGCACCATCCACGTGGAGTACACGCAGCCTGGTACCTGCCTGTTTTGAATAAAAGATGCTCAGTGGAAAGGTGCAAGGGCAACAACAGGAAGACCAGTTAGGAGGCTGCAGTGATAATCCAGGCAAAAAGTGATGAGGGTTCAGATGGGGGTGGTGACAGGGCTGGGCAGTGCAGCCGGGGCAGATTCTGTAGATTCCAGATAGATTCACAATGTGCAGGAAAGGCCATGGAAGCCAAGTGCCTGGACAAGCTTTCCAAGGCAATAGGCAAAGGTCAAAAGGAGAGATGTGGCCTGAGGGCTATAAACCCTGGGAGAAAAGGAGGGTCCAGCCAAGGAGACTGAGAAGGAGCAACCAGTGAGGTGGAAGGAAAGCCCAGAGAATACGGTGTCCTAAAAACCAAAAGAAGCTTCCGGGGTCAGGGCAGGCACTGGGAAGTATGTGCGAGTAGAAGGGCCTGTGTGAGTAAACACCCAGTTCCATCCTTGGTCACCAGTATCTAAGCATACAAACTTTTAAAAAAATTACTTATTTATCTATTTTATTTCTGGCCATGCCGAGTCTTTGTTGCTGCATGCCAGCTTTCTCTAGTTGCAGTGCCTGGGTTCCTCACTGCAATGGCTTCCCTTGTTGAGGAGCCTAGGCTCTAGGGTGTGTGAGCTTCAGTAGTTGTGGTGCATGGGCTTAGCTGCCCCATGGCATGCGGAATCTTCATGGACCAGGGATCCCATGTCCTCTGCATTGGCAGGTGGACTTAACCACTGGATCACCAGGGAAGTCCAACATACAGACTTTATTATCTGTATACACAGGTGCACAATTCTTTCTCTGAAATTCTTTGATGCCAGGTGTGCTTGGAATTCAGAATGAATTGGGATGCAGGAAGATAATATGGTACCCACACTGAATATTATATAACAGCCCCATCTGGAGTAACACCCTGTGCTCACCAACACCAGTGTTTCCTCTTCAAACATGTGAATATTAATGAAATGGATAAACAGAGGTTTCGCTGCCAAATGAATATCAGGTCAAATTTTTCCATCTGAGTTAGACTCAACAAAACAGTTCTCAGAATTTCTGGATTTCAGAACTGAGGACAAGGAATTAAAGATCTTTATCTGTACTAGAATGGGGGTAGTACTTGTTTCCAAATCATAGGGTATGCGTAAAAGTGAAATGCAATTATCCACTGAGAGCATTTAACACAGTACCCAGGACACTATAAATACTCAATATATGAGGGTTATTATTCACATACCCAGTTTTAATTCTGCATATGTGGACATATATATTCTTTAAAAGTATGAATATACATCATTTGTTATTTGTATTCCTGGGCCCTGGGCCCATGCGTCTGAGTGCGTGCATGCTCAGTTGTGTCCAACTCTTTGCAACCCCATGCGCAGTAGCTCATTAGGCTCCTCTGTCCATGGAATTTTCTAAGAATACTGGAGTGGGTTGTCATTTCCTCTTCCAGAGGATCTTCCCAATCCAGTGTTGGAACCCGAGTCTCTTGCACCTCCTGTGTTGGCAGGTGGATTTTTCACGAACTGAGCCACCTGGAAGCCCCTTATTTTATAGTTATATGTATTTTATTATGCATTTGTATATACATATTTTTATATACTGGGCTCTATATCATATTTTATATTTGTGTATATATACATATATTTTACAATATGGGTGATTGTGCTTATTTCTTATTAATTATGTCTATTTCTAGCTATTCCCTTCTAGGTGATCTTCCTGACCCAAGGACTGAACTCGGGTCTCCTGCATTGCAAGCAGATTCTTTACTCTCTGAACCACCACGAAAGCCCCTACACTTATTTTTTATTTATTTATGTCTATTTCAGTTAGTATGTATGTTTCATTTTATTATAGGTATATATATCATTTCATTTTCTATGCTTATACCTTATTTTTCTCCTAAAGTAAGTTTCTCTCTCTCTCTGTTATCCCAGTACATTGAAATGGCTAGAAAGATTTTCACCAAATATGGAGAATTTGCTTGCAACAAACTGATTTAAAATACAGGCTATATGGCCTGTAGACAATTCATTTTGGGGCAAAACATCTTCCCTAGCTGCCAAAATTGGGCTTCAGCTATGGAAAACAGTATAGAGGTTTCCCCAAAATTTTAAAATAGAACTCCTATATGATCTAGCAATCCCACTTGTGGGTATATATCCAAAGGAAATGAAATTTGGATCTCTCTGTGTTCACTGTGGCATTATTCACAATAGCCAAGATATAGAGACAACCTGAGTGTCTGTCTATGAATGAAAGGGTAAAGCAAATATGACATATGCACACAAGGAAATATTACTCAGTCTTATAAAAGAAGGAAATCCTACTATTTGTGATAATATGGATGAACCTGGAAGACATTATGCTAAGCAAAATCAGCTAGAGACGGAAACAGAAATACTACAAGATCTCACTTACATGTGGAATCTGACAAACTCATACAAGCAGAGAGTAGAGTAGTGGTTGCCAGGGGCAGGCGCAGGGAGGAATAGAGAGTTCATGGGTAAGAGTTTCAGTTTTGTAAGACAGAGTTCTGGATGGTGGTGATGGTTGCACAAGAATGTGAATTAATGCTACTGAATTGTAAACTTAAAAATGGTTAAAATTTATGTTATATATATTTTACTATAATTTAAAAAATAAATTTAAAAAATTATTTAAAAAAACAAACCACACTGGGCTTCATCCAGAGGCTTGTGTGGGACTTTCAAACAGGCAGAGTGGCCCTAAAGCAGACAGTGGTGTCAAATAGTAGTACCCAGGGGTGGGGGGAGGCTCAAGAGGGAGAGGGGATATGTATATGTAAACAGGATTCATGTTGTTGTAAAGCAGAAACTAATACAATATGGTAAAGCAATTATATTCCAATAAATAAATACATGGATAAGATTTAAAAACAAAATAGTAGTGCCCAGGTGTCACAAAGAGTGATGCTCAAGGGGCAGTCATGCTGGGCTTTCAAGGTGCTTCTCATAGGGGCACCTTTGGGTCAGACACTCCCAGACAAGGGCAGCAGTGAGCATGTCCACTGAAGCTGGTCAGCAGCTCTCTCTCGAGGCCCTCCAGGAGTAAGTGGGTGGCCTGTGAGAAGAATCATGAGCTCTGCTGGGGGAAGGGGAGGGAACACTTGCTACAGATTCAGGTCTGACCACCATCCCCTGCTACTGGGACATTCAGGCTACTCTAAGGGACCCCAGAGAGGGGTACACTGGGATGGCCACTAGTCTCCACTGACTGTGGAATGAGTAGCTTGAATGAGAGAAGGGCAAAGCCTGGTCTAGACCAGAGGTACCTGTACGCAAAAGGCCAGGTGAGCAGTGCCAATTCGGGTGGATGTGACAGGTATGACATCCTTACCTCTCCCCTTCTCCCAGTAACGTGATCACGCTGGCTGATTGTGACAGAAGGATGAGGATCTAGGTCAAGGACCTGAGGTCAACCTGTAGCCTTCACAGGCTGAGGGACCACCGGGCCACATGAATCATTCCCAACCTTCACACACTCCCAGAGCCCCACTTGTCCTATTTCCTGCCACACCCAAATGCTACCTGTACTATCACTGATGCTTTTAAGTCAACCTACTCTTTCTAGTTAAATAAATAAATAAATGTAAAAAAGGAAGGTGAGCGACTCCTCTGTTGGTCCAGTGACTAAGACTTCAAGCTCTCAATGCAGAGGGCCTGGATTTGATCCCTGGTCAGGGAATTAGATCCCACATGTTGCAACTAAAGATACTGCATGCCACAACTAAGATTCGGCTCAGCCAAATAAATAAATATTTTTAAAATAAAATTAAAATTAAAAAGGAAGTTGATATTATTACTAAAAATGGAAAGTCACTGTCCATTACCATTGTCAAAGAAAACATGAAAAATAAAATAGGGGCTTCCCTGTTATCTCAGTAGTAAAGAATCTGCCTGTCAATGCAGGAGACATGGGTTCGATCCCTGATCCAGGAGGATTCGGCATGCCTGTTAAGCAAAAGCCAGACACAAAAGACTACAGTCTTTATATGAAGTTTTAGAACAGGTGAAATTAACCTATGGTGTTTATGAAGCCAGAATAGTGCTGACTGCTGGGATGGGCATATCACCTGGGGAACTGGGGAACCTTCTGGGGCACTGGAAATGTGCTCATTGTAATCTGGGGGATGCTATACTATGTATTGGTGAGGTGTATTCTATAAAACTTCATCAGCTGTACACGTAAGATGTGTGCATTTTACTGTATATAAATTATACCTTAAAAGATTTTAAAAACCATTAATATATATCATATTTGCATATAATGCAAAAGCAACAAAACTAGATCATTAAGTTCACCCAGATACGGTTGCCAGCTGAAGACTCAGGCTTGTTAAAAAGGGAAACCAACAAATACCAGAGAGGTGTTAAAGACCTACTGGCCCCCAAGGAGATTTCCTCCTGGAGAGGCTGGGACCAAGTCTTCCCCACATATCCCCAGCAACTGCCACAGCACTCATCGAAGAGCTGGCTGTCAACAAACTGATGCTGAATGAGCTAATGAATGCAGGGATGGAAGCTGCAAGCTGATGGCTCGGATTTGAGCCCGAGGGTTGTGTTGACCCAGCTGGGTGCCCCTTCCCCTCCTCTCTCTTCCACCCAACCCCCCACCCCAGTCCCAGTCCCAGGGGAACCATACCTCAAGGAAGTCATCCCCCTCGCTGGGCAAAACCTTGCCCTGCCGCCAGCGTTTGAGGAACCACCTGAGCTTCATGAAGAGCAGGAGGAAGTTGTGCTTGAACTGCTGGGACTCCTGCACCAACATGTTCTTCTCCTGGCTCCAGAATTTCTGCTCCAGCCTCCGCTGTAGGCTCAGACTCTGGAGCTCAAACTCGCGCCGCAGGAGCGCCCTCTGCTGGTCCTCCTTCAGCTGCAAGAGGGACCAGAGCATGAGCCGCCCCAGCTGTCTTGGGGACCCCGATTCATCCCATCCAGGCCTCAGATAAAGGCAGAAATTGCATGTGGTGCCTAGTGGTGACCCTGCTGGGGATTCTATGCCTAGCAGTTCATACTCCAGGGAAAGGAAACTCATAAAAACAGCAGCAATCACAGTAATCAGTGAAAGCGCTGGGATCTGAACCTGCTCTGTCTGATTATAAAAACACTGGCTTTATCTAATGAGCCCAGGTGGGCTTCCCTGGTGGCTCAGATGGTAAAGAATCTCCCCGCAGTGCAGGAGACACAGGTTCAATCCCTGGGTCAGGAAGATCCCCTGGAGAAGGGAAAGACTACCCACTCCAGTATTCTTGCCTAAAGAATACCATGGACAGAGGAGCCTGGCAGGCTACAGTCCATGGGGTGGCAAAGAGTCAGAAAAGACTGAGCGACTAATACTTTCACGTTTTCACGATGAGCCCATAGGAGCACCAGTGTTTCAGGTGGACTCTCACATTTAATGAGGCACCTGGGAGGGTGAGTGATGACGGCAGGGAGGGGTGACCCAACGTGCAAAGCAAAGGCCATGCTGGGGGTGAGGAAGGCTGACATTAATACCCTAGGAAGCAATGAGGTATCATGGCCCAGAGGGAGCCAATAACCTGGATTAAAATCCCAGCCCCACCTTGCCCTGCAAGTGGAATCCTGGGCAAAGCACTTCAGCCCTCTGGGCATCAGTTTTTCTAGGTGTAAAAGGGGGACACTTCACAGGGGAAAACATGAGGATTAAAGGACATGATGTGCGGAAAGTGCATTGCAATTCTGACATACAGTAAGGGCTTCATAAATGATTTCTACTAGCAGAACTACCATCTTGATTACCAACTAGGACTGTGGACTTTCTAATACAGAACTTCAGCTCTGAGGGGGGCAATATTTCATAGACAGGACACTGAGGCCCCAAGAGGAGACAGGATGGGCCTCAGGTCACACAGACAGTCCGTGACAAGCCCAGGATTCCAGCCCAGCACAGTTAATGCATAAGCACCCACGCAGCACGCAGGGCAGACACAGGCTGCCCCTCACATGCTTGGCTCTGAAAAACCCAAGGACCACCAAGGTTTCTGCCCTCAGTTCAGGGAAGAGAGGCTGCAGTAGGTGCAGGATAGGACCCCACCCACCTGCACCATTTTCTGATTGAAGCTTTCGGCCTCCTCCTTCCGGAGCTGCCGCTCCTGGGAGAGCTGCTCTTGCAGGCCCCGGAGGCTGTCGTGGGCCTCGGCCAGCACCAGCTGCAGCTCCTTGATCTGGGGTCGAGATGAGGGACACGGATGAGGAGCAGGGAGAGAGCAGGAGGACAGAAACTGCAGTCGAAGGATGACAGTCAGAGGACAGCGAGACAGCAGGAAGTCAGACCCAAGCTATCCTTCACGCATACTCCAGGCATGATGGCAGGTCTCTACTTCAGTGGGTTGCATGATGATGAAATGAAACAGTGCACATCAAATCTAGCTATTATTAGAATTTTAACTTGACACTTTCTGGCGAAAATTTATTTGAAGAAAATAATATACTACGAAAACTAAGTGAATTCACAAAAATGTTCATCTCACTGTTTATAACTGTACCAATTTACAAACAGCTTAGGTAAGTCAGGGATCAAACATATGTGTTTAACGGGTCTATACTTATGTAAAAATCCATTCAACTGTACACTTAAGGATAGTACCCTTGGTCATTCCCTGGCTGTCCAGTGGTTAGGACAACATGCTTTCACTGCCAAAGGTGCAGGTCAGGGAACTAAGATCCCACAAGCTGAGAGGTGTGGCCAAAAAAACAAAAAGGATAGTGCCCTTTCCTATATGTATGTTTTTATGCTATATTTCAATAACAAGTTAAACAAACTAAACATTCACAGTAGTTAACTATGTGTTAATCTTGTGATCTTGATTTTCTTTTTCCATCTTTATGCTACGCTATTTAGGGATTCTGTTATAGTTATTTGCTGTTTATAATGTAAGAAACTCCTACCAAAAAGACAATAAAAATCTACATTTTCAGGGGAAATTCTGTTTATAAGGATTTGGAGCTAAACAGGCAAAACAAATCTATCTGGTTAGAAGTCAGGATGTGACTAAATGGGGACTAGAAGGGAAGCTTCCAGGGACAGGTCATGGGCTATTCATTGATCTGCTTGCTGATTACATAGGAGTGTTCAGCTTATGAAAATTACTTGAGGGACTTTCCAGGTGGTCCCGAGGTTAAGACTCTACACTCCCAATGCAGAGGGGCCGGGCTCTGAGGTCCGTAGCCTAGACTTTGTGCTCTGCAACAAGAGAAGCCACGGCACAGAGAAGCCTGCGCACTGCGAGGAAGAGCAGCCCCTGCTTGCTGCAACGAGAGAAAGCCGGCAGCAACGAAGATCCAGCGCAGCCAAAAATAAATTAAAAAAAAAAAACTTCCTCAGATGAGTTTATAAACTTCCTGTCATCAGGTCCTGAGAATGGCTCAAACTTCCTTGTTTCTCTTCCAGCCCTTGTTGCCAGGAAGCTTGGAACCAAAGGAAACACTCAGAACCCATATCAACACCGGCTAAGATTCTCCACAAGTCACTCTGTTCTTGAGTCACCTCAGCCACTCTCTTCCTACCCCTCGCCCCCGCTCGTGTGGGCCCAGGCCCACCTCAGAGGCATAGGAATCATTGTCTTCAGCTCGGTAAGGCCTGAAGCTTCGGCTGGGGTCAGACTTGGAGTCCAAGTCGCCGGTGCGGAAGGCCTCTCGTATCCTAGGCTCCCATTCCGGCAGGTCCCTGAGGTCAGGAGGCTGCACCTAGAGGCACAAGCAGAAGAAACTAAAGGTGACCCCGGGGAGGGGCACGTGGGGTGCCGGAAACAGCGCCCACTCCAGGCCCCGGGCTCTGTAGGAGCCTCTGACAGGGCACCTGAAGGGAGAGACCTAGGTGGACTCACCTCCGGCGGCTGGTGCACTGCAACTTCTCCATGAATGTTTTCTGTTGTTTTTTTTTTTTTAATGAATTAACTTTATTTGACTGTGTCAGGACTTAGGGGCTTCCCAGGTGGCACTAGTGGGAAAGAGCCCGCCTGCCAGTGCAGGAGATAAAAGAGACTTGGGTTCTATCATGGGTGGGAAAGATCCCCTGGAGGAGGGCATGGCAACCCACTCCAGTATTCTTGCCTGGAGAATCCCATGGAGAGAGAAGCCTGTATCTATCAGTGATGAATGACTAAGGGAACTGTGGGAGAGTCACTCCATGAGGTCACATCCGGTCAGAACACTCAGAACTACTTCTACCTGAGACAGCAAACATAATGGTGAGTGAAAGAAGTCAGGCACAGGTGAGTGTGTTCTGTGTCATTCAATTTATGCAAAGTTCAAAGACAGACAAAACTGAATCGAGAGAGGGGTTACCCTATGGAGTGGGAATAGAGGCTAAAAGGGAACTCGAGGAGGGGCTGCTGCGGTTCCTGTCATCTTGATGATGACATGGGTGTGCTCACTTTGGGAAAATTCATTAAGCTGCACATTTGTGTTTTGTGTGCTTCTCTGTATGATATGGTTCAGTAAAAGGTTTATATATGTGTGTGTATACATACGCACACATATATAAAAAGTAATAGGGGATTTCCCTGGTGGTCCAGTGGTTAAGAGGCTTCCCAGATGGCACTAGTGGTGAGGAACCCGCCTGCCAATGCAGGAGACTGAAGAGAGGCCAGTTCGATCCCTGGGTTGGGAAGATGCCCTGAAGGAGGGGCATGGCAACCCACTCCAGTATTCTTGCCTGGAGAACTCCAGGGACAGAGGAACCTGGCAGGCTATAGTCCGTGGGGTCGCACAGGGTCAGGCATGACTGAAGTGACTTAGTACAGCATAGCCAGTGGTTAAGACTTTGCATGCATCCATTGCAGAGGAACCCACTCCAGTGTTCTTGCCTGGAGAATCCCAGGGATGGCGCGTCTCTGGGGTCACACAGAGTTGGACATGACTGAAGCGACTTAGCAGCAGCAGCAGCATTGCAGGGGTTGTGGGTTCGATCTCTGGTAGGAGAAGTGCTGCCTGCTGCACGGTGCAGCCAGAAAAAAAAAAAAAGCAATAGGACCCTTGACTGGGATCTCTTACCTGGAAGTCTGAGCCAAGGTCTTTGGCCAGAAGAATCTCCTTGGAGGGCCCCTGGGAGCTCAAGGCGGGCAGTGTGGAGAAGGGCTCTGGAGGCTCCTTGACAGGGCCCCCAAGGACCGAGTCCGCCTTCCTCGTGAAGGCGTTGAGCTCCTGCTGGAGCAGGCTGAGCCGCACCAGGAGGGCGTGCATCAGCTTGGCGTCCCTGGGGCCCTCGCTGTTGTTGTCGGGGGTCTCGTGCAGCCGGAAGTCGGCGCACTCGTTGTCCAGGTAGGGGCGCAGGCCGGCCGAGAAGCCGTTGGCGTCGGCCACCAGGACGTCAATAGCCTTGCTGACCAGGACAGCTTGCTCCCGCAGCCCTGGCAGGGCCTCAGCCTCCCGGGTCCGGCAGAGTCGCGCGGCCACGGGCCCCGGGGCCTCGGCCAGGACGGCAGGCACGCACTGGGCAGAGTCGCCGGCCTCGGCGTCGGTCTCCAGCATAGGCCTCGTGCTCTGGCAGGAGGCCAGGTCACAGCGCTGGAGGTTGGAGAGGAGCACGCGGTTCTCGTACTGCAGCTTCTTGACCTTGCCGCTGAGCTCGCCGATCTGCAGCTTGGCGGCTGCCAGCTCCTCCTGCGAGGGCTCGCTGAGCACCGAGCAGCTGTCCTCCGACAGCGTCACGTCCAGCTCGTGCTCCGAGCGGTACTTGGCCAGCTCGCTCAGCAGCAGCTTGTTCTGGTCCTCCAGCTCGGCCGAGGAGCGCCGCAGCAGCTCGGCTTCCTCCTCCACGAACTGCAGGTGTCGCCGCAGCTCCGCCAGGCTCTCCCCGCACTCGCCGCCGCCCAAAGCGAAGGCCAGGCGGGCCTCGGGGCCCCCGCAGCCGCCGCCACCGTGATCCTTCATGTCGTCCATCTCGGCCCGCAAGCCGCGGTTCTCCACCTCCAGCTCCACGATGCGGCGGCTCAGCAGGTTGGCCTCCTCCTCCACCAGCTTCAGATGCACCTTGAGCTCCGTCTCCCGCGAGTGGGGGGCGTCCGCCAGCTCCTCCGCCGACAGGGCACCGTCCAGGTCTCCGTAGAGTGAGCGGTATTTGAGCAGCTCCTCCTTCATGCCGTCGTTCTCCTTGGCCAGCTTGGTGAGCTTCTTGCACATGAGCGCCGACTCTTCCTTTGCAAAGTGCAGCTGGCACTTCAGGTCGGCGCTGTCCTCCTGGGGCCGGAGGGGGAACAGGGACAGGAAGGAGCCAGGAAAGTTAGTGTTGGGAGGCTCAGCCACACTGTTTCGGGGAGCTCTACCTACTAGGTGCTGGGAACACAGTCTTGACACTCAAGGCGCTGGGGGTCCAGAGGGGAGGCAGAGAGGCATACATGGCAGCACACAAATGGGGCACACATATAGCCTGAGGAGTCCAGGAGGGCTTCCTGGAGTAAGCGACATTCTGTCAGGGTGACTGTTGCTGCTATGACTACTACCATTGCTACTGTAGTCTTCTCATCTGTAAAATGGGGCAATAACACCGCCCCCAACAGACCATGAAGAGAATTAAAGGAGACAATATATAAAAAGTGCCTGACACCCTGATCATCCAGAACCACTTGAGACTAACTGTATTCTGTGCCTGACCTGTGCTACAGACAGGACTGTACAGAGCAGAGCATGTGAGAACCATGGGCTCAGGGTGTAGTTTGGGGAAGTAAAGCTGGCATCAAAGCTAAGAAAATGAATAAGGGGAGGATGGAGTAAAAACAGGGGAGGGGTGGACACCTCTGGGGACTCCTCGGGCCACTTGGAGTTAAGCCTGGGGCCTTCAGACTAAAACCTGCCGCTTGGGGTTATGCTGCCTGAGGCTGGTGGAGGCTAACCAGAAGTACCTGCACCGAAGGCTTCTTGTCCGTCTTCCCCAAGGAGCGCGTTCCTCTTTTCTTCAAGGAGTGCTGGAGGAGGATTAAAAATAAACTGAACTAAAGCTCACAAGGGTGATGCACATCCAAGAGCAGTCATGGTGCCCAGGGTTCCGCTGAGAACCCCTCCCCTCCCCAGCCAGCCTGGCCCGGCCATGGCCAGCCTTGAACAGCACCAATGGCTGAGTTAGAGGAGTCTTAAGACCACCCAGTGACTGCAAATGAAGAGCCAGGTCAGTACTTAAGACAATTCTGAACCCACCTGCCCAGGGTTCCTCCCCTCTCTCGCACCCCGGAATTGTGGTCTAATTGGCTTGAGCCCAAGACCTGGAAAATCTGGGTTTCTGTTCTTGTCTGTCTTTCATTCATTCACCAAAGACTGCCTGAGCACCCATCATGTGCCAGGCAGAGTAAGGCATGGAGAATACAGCAGGGACCATGACAGACAGGGTACCTCAGGGGGATATTGGAGTGTTATGCCCAGATCCTTCCTTTAGTACTAGAGCATTCCTCTAGTCCCCCTTCCAGCGATGGTCACTGGCTGAGGGCAACCACCTCATCCAAGGTCTCGTGCCCTCCCTGTGGGGGCAAGGGGGCAATGGGGGGAAGCCACATTCAATGACTAGTCCATGCCCTCTTCCCACACCAGCTCCAGAGCTCCCCATGGGATCAGCTGAGGGAGTGTGAATGCGCTGCAATTCAGCTTCTCCCGCTGCCTCCATCTCTGATGGTGTTTTCCAGGAGGATACTTCCATAAGCCTCTGCATGCAAATCTCCATCTCAGGGGGAATCCTGAGCTCAAGGAACTGGCATTCTAGTTAGAACTTTAATTCAGAGTAGATATTAATAAACAGTAATATTTCTCGTATATTAAGTGAAATAAATCAGACAGGGAAAGACAAATACTGTATGATATCACTTTTACATGGAACTCCAGGTGGCTTCCCTGGTGGATCAGATGGTAAAGAAGCTGCCTGCAATGTGGGAGACCAGGGTTTCATCCCTGGGTCGGGAAGATCCCCTGGAGAAGGGAACGGTAACCCTCTCCAGTATTCTTGCCTGGAGAATTCCATGGACAGAGGAGCCTGGCTACAGTCCATGGGGTCGCAAAGAGTTGGACACAACTGAGCTACTAACACACATTAATAAACAAAATGAATATGGTAAAACAAATCATAATTATATAAGAGGCTTAGAAATGATGAGGAACTGATCTTTTTTTTTTTTTTACAATGTAAATGGTAGGTTTTCATGCAGATTAAAGCAAAGTAAGGCTCTGATAATCATCATGGTGCAAAAATACAGAAGCAGGGATTTTCCTGGTGGTCCAGTGGTTAAGACTCCATGCCCCCCCCCGCCCCCCACAAAAAGATTCCATGCTCCCAGTGCAGGGGGCAAGGGTTCTATCCCTAGTCGGGGGAACTAGGATCTCACATGCTGTACAATGAGGCCAAAACAAAGAAACACAAAACAAAAAAACCAAACACAAAAATACAGAAGCAATAGGGGAAGAAATTGATACATTTGATTAGATAAGCAAATTCTACCTGGGGCAAAGAAATGCTCTAAGAAAAGTAAAAATATAAATCACTAATTGGGAAAAAATATTTGCCATGTATGACACTGACAAATGGTTAATGTCCTAAATACGTAAAGAGAGTCACAAGATAAAGTCCAACAAACCTACAGAGAAATAGCTAGAGAGATGAAAACCAGTTTACAGGCAAAGAAGCGTAAATGGCTCCAACGACAGGAAGATGCTCACCCTATTCATGGAAGAGAAATGCAAATTAAAACTACACTGAGATACAATTTCTCACCTATCAGATTGGCAAAAACCCAAACATCTGACAACACATTCTATTGATGAAGTGATGGAAAAACAGGAACACTCAGTATCAGTGGCAAGAATGCAAAATGGCACAAGTTCTATAGAGGGGAATTTGAGGAATTGTTATAGTCATCTTTTCTGAAGTTTCTCAGCATTTAAAAAAGTCACTCACACCATGAGTCCATTGAACACGTCTTCCCTTGAGAGGAGTGAGTATTTCACTTAGTGGAGTATAAAACCAATTTTGGGTTGCATTTGACTTTTCAAGTCAGGCAGGTAATCTTTGAGCATGCTTCCAGGTAGTTTGAATACACGTGCTTCCTGTCCACCATTTCTCATACCCCAACCCTGGAGGTGAGAACCATGGATCTAATCCGAGCCTCCTCTTTACTGAAGGCAAGAGAGGTCCCACAGCAAAACCAGAGCTGACCTGGGACCAGTTCTGGACAGAACTCTTGTTCTAGCTCCAAAACACTTGAAGGAGAAACTGTACCTTCTTCGACAGAGGCCAGAGCGGACCCAGCACAGTGGCTGTCAACCTGGATGCAAATCAGAATCACCTAGGGGAAATTTTAAAAAGTGATGCCCAAGATCCCAGCCCCAGAGATTCTCACATCATTGGTCTGAGTAGGTCCCAGGCATCAGTATTTTTAAATAGCTTCCCAGGTGATTCTAATGTGCAGCTAAGGTTGAAACTACAGAGCTAGGGAGGAAGATGAACCAGAGATAGGCTCTTAAGTTCATCTTAAAGCCCAATCAAATCCTAAAGAGATCTTTTGAAATGTAAATGAGGCAGGAAGGCAGAGGCTGATATTTCAGATGCTGGGTGCCAAGAGCAGGAAGGCAGTATTTGAGAAGGGCTGATGGGGGAATCTTTCAAAAGCTAGGAGGTAAGAGTACGGAAGGCGGAAGGCGGGTGAGGGTCACAAAACAAGTCTTTCCACAAAGAGCTCCTCCCACAAAAGAGGTCTGGGAAGGGGATGCTCAGAGAGAGACCCCCTCCCACAGTGGTGAGGTGGGGGCTCTGGAGTCAGGTGGCCAGGGTTGCAGATCTGGGCCTCCCTATCACAAGCATATTGGGCTTCCCTAGTAGCTCAAATGGGAAAGAATCTGCCTGCAATGCGGGAGACCAGGGTTCAGTCCCTGCGTCAGGAAGATCTCCTGGAAAGGAAATGGCCACCCACTCCAGTGTTCTTGCCTGGAAAATCCCATGGACAGAGGAGCCTGGCAGGCTATAGTTCATGGGGTCGCAAAGAGTCGGACAGAACTGAGCATAAAACACTTTCACATCACAAGCTGATGGGTGGGTCCGGGAACTCAGGTGGGACACCTGGGTGAACCACTTCCTCTCCCAGAAACTCCACTCCATCATCTACAAAACTGAGCCACAGATTAAATGACTACTGCAGACTTCTTGGAGGAGGGAAGTGGGGTGACAGGAAGGGGAGCCAGGGGTTCCCAGAGGCACTGAGAGGTCCCAGCCATCACACAAAAAGGACTGAGATAATACAAAACCTAAAGTCATTAAAAAGGGCAGTGGGAGAGTGAAATTCACTGACATGATAAAATCTGAGACAAAGGTAATTGTAAAACAAAACCTGCAACCCAAATGTCCATCAACTGATGAATGGATAATAAAATGTGGTATATCCACCCAGGGGAATGTTAGTCAGCCAGGAAAAGAATGAAGTCTTGATCGATGTTACAACATGCTTGAAAACATTGCTGAGTGAAGGAAGCCTGTCACAGGAGGACACATCGCATATGATTCCATTTACATGAAAAGTCCAGTTAAGAGGCAAATCCACAAAGGCCAAAAGTAGATTAGTGGTTGCCAGGGAGGAAGAGGGAGTGGGGAGTAACTTGATGGCTTGAGGTTTCTTTCTAGGGCGATGAAGATATTCTGGAATTAGAAAGCAGTGATGGGTGTGCAACTCTGAGTATTCTAAAAACTACTGAACTCTACCCTTTAAAAAAGACAACCTTTATTTGAGACAAGCTAGAGGGGGGCTTCCCTGGTGGTTCAGTGGATAAGAATCCACCTCGCTATGCAGGAGACATAGGTTTGATCCCTGATCTGGGAAGAGAAGCCACTGTAATGAGAAGCCCATGCACCGCAACTAGAGAGTAGCCGTAGCCCCCGCTTGCCACAACAAGAAAAAAGCCCAAGCGTCAACAAAGACCCAGCACAGCCAAAAATAAATAAATAAATGAAACTATTTTTTAAAAAACTAGACCATGTTACCATCTTTATAAAAATAAGACACGTGTGTGCATGCATGCATGTGGGTATACATGTGTGCATGTGCGTGGTGGGGGGATATGATTTAAAGAATATACACTAAGTTGAAAACAATGAGAGTACAGAGAACTTGCACTTTTCACTTTTCTTCCCCCACATGTTTTTGAGAGGAGCAAAGACATAGTCCACCAGTGTTTTCTCTTTAAAGTGTTTAAAAAATGATATAATTTTTAAAAAGTAAATTAATACCTAAAGCTATATTCTCACTGTAAATCTATACTATGCTGACAAAGCAGGAGTCCCCCTCCTTATACCCCCACCCATTCTCCTGAGGGTGACCTCAGCCAAAGGTTGGCTGGAGCTCTTTCTAGACCTCTGGCTCTGTGTTTAAAATACTGAAATAGATGGTGTTTTTAGACTTTCTTTCCTTCCCATGTTTACTTAGCTCTGTGATCTTTGATTTTTATAATAAGCACCTCAAGCAGAAGAAAACCCCCAAACATCCAGCATTTAAAAAGACAGCCTGTGTTCATGCTACATTATCATGTATGTTACAGAAACTGTGCTTATAACATAATCCCATCCTTATTTTGAAAAATACATACAGAAACAACTACACATTGTAAAGCATAGAGAAAGGCCTGAAAAGGCACAAACTAAAACAAATCATGGGTTAGGCTGAACCAGGCATCGAATTGAGGGAAGTGGTTAGGGGAGGCTTTCTTCTTTTATGTATGGTTTTTATCATTTCTTATATTTTGCAGAGCACACTCACATCCAAACTTCAAAAAAATCCAAAAGGGAATACAGTTCAGTTCAGTTCAGTTCAGCCGCTCAGTCGTGTCCGACTCTTTGCGACCCCATGGACCGCAGCACGCCAGGCCTCCCATCACCAACTCCTAGAGTTTACTAAAACTCATGTCCATTGAGTCGGTAATGCCATCCAAGCATCTCATCCTC